CATTATCAATACGCATTGATAAAGTAGATTTTATCGTCTCATAAATATTAAAATATAAACCAAGAGCAATAAAGGAATTTAAGTTTAACGATCAGAGAGAGAGAGAGAGAGAGAGAGAGAGAGAGAGAGTATGAATCATTTTCACTTTATTATCTCGCTCTCTCTTTCTCTCTCTGTCTACCACATATACCCCCACACCCACAGACTCTCTCTCTATCACACACGTACAAACACACACACACACCCTCCGACACCCATCCACCCACACCCTCACACACACACACACTCACACACACACACAGAGGTTTGTGTTCATCAAGCAAAATCGTCCTGAATAAAGCATAATATTAGTAACCTGTCTAATATTTCTTATTATAGTATTTCTTCAAAGCTATTTACATGTACAATAATTTCACTTACATTTAAAGTTAAAGAATAAAGATACATGTATTCTATTGTCATATTCTCTATATCTGTTGCAGATGTTGAAGACAGAAATGCTTTAATTTGATTCGTGTTTTTTCCTTCTCTTAAATATTGCACAAAAGATAAACTGACAAATTTAGATTTGTCACCACCCATTAATGTATTATGGACGGGCAATCAAAGTATCTGATTTCAATCTCTGCAATGTTATTATTAGTGGGCCGTATCAAAATATCTGCAGCTTTAAAAACTACGACATAAAAGATCATTACATATATTGCCCTTACTCTTTTACTCTTACAGACAGTATCCATGTTTAGCTAATACGTTAATTCAAAATGATAAAAAGTCCTATCACATTCAATTTGAATGATTCCCTTCAATATTTATGTGGTCGTTGCAACCATACGGAAATGCCGTAGATAGTTTTTTCATCAAGTAATCTTCTTGTCTACAGAATGGAGTACTGAAAGTGGAACTATAGTTGATTGATATATATATTTTTTTCAAATTCTGTAAAGAGTGATCAGACGAATTGAAATGTTAATTACGATGTTTCATGACGACCCTATTATTTACCCCAAAACTGACATCCTCTTACGGAGTGATCCCTTTATTTCCCAAAACCATCTACAGAGAGTACATTCAATTCCGTATAGACAATGTCAGAAGCTTTACAAGTCGATTTTTCACCATTTTAGTATTTTTCTATGTCTAGTAAAGTTGCTATAAAACAAGTATTTCTTTTCAAAATATCACAGGTTTGCATTTTTAGTAAGACAATTCGTAATGAAACACATGAGGTCCGCAAAGAATCTCCGGTTGAAAGCTCACAATCTTTAAGTAAAGATTTGGTTATCTGCTACGTTTTATGCGATACATTCTTGATACATGTAGTCCAAAGGAGAATCCGAGGGGCATCAACCATTTTATTAGAGCCTGTGACTCTATTGATAAACTTTGTCCTAAAATATTTTTAAAAAATGTTTCCTTCACCTGTGATGCACTGTTTCTCATTACGAAAAGGAATATATTTTTTGCTTCTTGATTTTTTTTTACTGTGAAATCTAATCTATTCTTTAGATAACCTTAATGGGTTCTAAAATTAAATATGTGGAGATAACGAACAGTATTCAAGCTACAAATCAGGAGCAGAGCAAAAACGGGCCTCTAAAACAATAGAGGTGGGATCAGGTGCCATGGAGGGGTGAGCATCCCCTGTCAACCTGTCACATCTGCCATGTGCTCTTAAGGAAAATCCGTAGACAATTCAATGTGTAAATAATTGCTAACAATTTGTATGAAAAACGTTCATCAGCATTTGACTTTATGATAGATTGTATTTGCTGACAGGGTCATTGTATCGACCATAGAACTTGCGATATGATAACTTTAAACTTGACTGTTGATAATCTTGTTTTATTAACTTGTTTGTCAATAACTTACATCGTTTTTGGTTTGAATGATTGATTGTGTATCGTTTAACGTAGCATTCGAGAATTTTTCACTCATATAGAGAGGTCACCCATTCCGGTGAAGGGCTTCAAATTTAGATCTATACTCGGCACTCAGGGCCATTGAACAGTGAGGGTTGTTTATCGTGCCACGCCTACCGTGACACAGGACCTTGGTTTTTAAGGTCTCATCCGAAAGACCCGTGTCTTTTACTTCTAATGCCAGGCGCTTGGCAAGGAATAGTCACTACCTATGTTTACATCTTAGGTCTTCACGCGGCGCAGCGAACGAGAATCGAACCCGGGCCTCCCGATCACGAAGCGAACGCCCTACCACTAGGCTACCGTGACCCGTCCTCGTGCGTTTTTGGAAAATGTGTAATCAATATGAAGGGGGCATTTTTTCTTTAAAGTGAAATATGAATTAATGAACAGTATTCAATCTCGAAAGTCCAATGAAACGATACAAATTTGAAGCAGAGCAAACACGGACCTCAAAATGTAGAGGTGGGATCAGGTGGAATGGAGGAGTGAGCATCCCCAGCCGACCGATCACACCCGCCGTGTGCTCCTTGTCATGATCGGGTAATAACGGAGAAATCCGTAGACAGTTCAGTGTATAAATAATGGCCCAACAATTAGTATGAAAAACGTCAGTCAGCATTTGACTCAATGATAGGTTGTATGTGCTGACAAGGTCATTGTATCGACCGTAAAACTTGCGAAAAGATGACTTCACACGAGACTGTTGATTACAACATTTAACGATCAATTTATTTGAAAAATGTAAATCCTTGATTTATACATCAGCTTTCATACACGCTAACAATTCCAATACAGAAACTTTTTTAAAATCATTTAAACGGTGAATTTAAATAAATTTGTTTCCTTCAAGTATAAAAAGAAATGTGAGTAGGAAGTCATTGAATATGAAACATAACTATAGATAACTTTTGTCAAAAAATTCTTGTGAGGAAGATCGCCACCTATATAGTCATTCTTTCATAATATGGACCTTCGTTGCTAAGGTGTTATGCATAACTTAGGTAACGATATAATGAAAATAATATGTGATTAATTCAATAACTGTCTGGTAGTGTACACAAATATGCTATGAATTGTCCCTTTTAAAAAAAAATGTCATTTTCAATTCTAAGAGGGTGACTATTTACTACTATTTACCTTGTATAGATGTAATAAAATTTCGAATTAGAATAGTTTCCCCGCGTGATTCAGTACTGAAAAAATGTGATATTTTGTAAAAGACCATCTACCTCTACATATGGTATAAACTTGATTTGCATAAATCAGTATTTTATTCAAACAACAATTATATAGATACCGGTCTGAGCAACAGACATTCAGTGTTCCTTTTTACACAACACTTCAATCGCTCGATGATCATTCAGTGATATCTAGTGTTTTAACTTATGTATTGTTAAAAACGTTGACAAATTAAGCGAAAAATATTAATTGGTCGAATGACGAGGAAAATGAGAACTCCCTCTAACACCTGGCCACAAAGAGTTTAAATGTTGAAATTGGTAAATGCTAGAATCAAGCTCAAATATCCATTGGCTCAAAACCAATTGGGAGCATATCAAACATGGACCAATAAAACATCAGAGATGGGATTCTGGGTTAATTTCAATGCTGTGCTTCGTCAAAGTAAGAGGAAAACAATATTTCAGTCATTATATTCAATAAGCTCTATCTAAAACTACTTTTCACTTGAACTAGTTTTCTTTGGTAAGCTTGCAGTCTTTTAGCTAAAAATTGGCTTGTAACTAAATGATAATTATGTTACAGTCTTCACTTCGATTTCGTTTTTCTATGATTAAGATAACGATCAGTAATCCGAGAAACATCAATTTAAATACCTTGTTCATAAGGAAGGCTCATAAATGTTTATTATTTAAAGACATGCATTTCTTTAGTTATCCAGGTTCAATCAATAGTGTTCGGGAATTTACCCCGGGTTGTGTTCCATACACGCTGATGCATCAGGGGTAAAATCCTTACAGGATAATCGCTTTTGTTTGTTTGTTTGTTTAATGTCCCTTCGAAAATTTTTCACTCATATTGAGATGCCACCACTTGCCGGTGGAAGGGTGCAAATTTAGACCTGTATTCGACTCTTAGGGCCTTTGAGCAGTGAGGGATCTTTTTCGTGCCAGCACCTACTGCGACAAGGGGCCTTGGTTTATACGGTCTCATCAGTAGGACCGGTTTCTACGTCCCGCAGAGGGAAGAGGGATTCGAATCCTCGACGTAAGGATCAACTCCTTACTCTGTGACTCTAGAGCAAACGGTCTTACAACTTCGCCACGCGTGCAACTTATCGCTTTTGTGTATGTAAAATGTTTTTCTTCATATTCATCCCTGAATGAATAACTATAAACGGCATTAAAACTTCACTTGTACATTGTTTTCCTTCAATATTTATCTAGGGCACGATGTATAGATATTAACTGCAATTCTTTAATAAACTATACATCGTTTATATGATTGTGATGTTGGACAGATTATCAAAATATGACTGTGTATTGAAATGTTAAAAATTATGTTTGATTTTCTAGTGTTATATTAAGTAAATATTATGAACATTAAGTTGATATTATGAAGTCTCCTAAATTTTGATTTTTATCATAAGTTGTCGATGATTTGACTTTTCATTATGCCATTCAAACAAAGATATAAAAGATATTAAAAAAATCATTTTATTGAATGTTGACAAAATACTTTTCAAACTTGCATTATGGCAAAACCTGAATTACCTCTAGTTTATACCATGGTATATAAACATTGAACATTAAAAATCAGACTCTGATACTTGGGCCTTTGAAACAATGGATTAACCGTATGCCCTCTCGCACGTATATTCTTCTGATCTTTTTTTTTTTGCATTATGTTCTTTCTTTTTTTGGAATAAAAGCATGATAATAATCTTAATTTTATATATCCTGTAAAGAATTCCATTTTACAAGCATTTGTTTTATTTATGTTTGTTTGTTTGTTTTTAAAAAACACACAGTTCTAGAGAATATGGAAAACGTGAGACAGGAGTCAGCCAAAAATCTAAAGATTAATTCTTTACGGAATGGGAACTAGAAAGAAATTATGAGTACTGAAGAGTCTGACGGAGGATCAGATAACTTTGAAATCCTTCGAAAATGTCTAAAGGAACCATGTACCAATTTGTTCCGAAATATTTTGAAATTAAAATTCAGACGATATGAGGATCTCAGGGAGGGAGTTCCTTTGGACACCCTCTCTGAAAGGTCAAAATATGCTTTGGAAAAACAGAATCGAATAAGCAAACTCAACTTCCCTGTTCTGTATGATATCCTCCGTTCGGGAGTCTTTGATTCCTTAATCGGCTCACCAGTTTTGGGTTGGACTTCGATCGAGGAAATTCCAGATGAGCACAGAGGAATAGCAGATGATATCCAAAGAATCTGGAGGATATGGCAAAAAAGATAATGAAGATGAGACAATATCTGACAATGACAGCAACATAGCTATGAAAACACTGAAGGATATAGGGTTCAGAATGAGTAGTCGACGTGAACTCAAAGACTTTGGTATGGATTTCTGTAGGGAAATCGGCTTGGCAACCAATAAAGGTAATTTGATTTTTTTTTTAAAACTGTACTTAAAACATGTTATGAAATCCGTTATTTCAGGATGTTATATAGCAGAAAGTCCCTGTAAGGGTTTATTTGTTTGTTTATTTAATGTTCCTTTCGAGACGCCACCACTTGACGGTGGAGGGTTACAAATTTAGACCTATACTATGCACTCAAAATCACTGAGTAGTGAGGGATCTTTATCGTGCCAGCACGAACTGCGACTCGAGACCTCGGTTTATACGTTCTCATCCAAAGGTCCGGCCTCTACGTCCCGCAAAGGGATTCGAATTCGTTACCTTCACCTTTTTCACTTTTTAACTTACTCCGCGACTCTGGAGCAAACGCTCTAACCACTGCGCCATGCGGGTTGCTCCCTGTAAGGGTAAAAACAATCAAATAAGGAAAAGTTTTGAAATCTGTCCATTATTTAATTCATTGGATATTTATTTTCAACATATTAGATAGAGCCAGGTATAATGAAAACCAAAGAAAAATGATACATTTGTCAAACGGAAGCATTTTTTTTTTAAAAATTCAAATTAATGAATGTAACAGGTAAACATTACCGACACAATGAATTGAATGAAATTCCTATTACACGTTTTAAATTTTAGATTTATAATTAACATTCACAAAATGAATTTTAAGGAATTTCTATTACATTTTTTTAAATTTTTGATTCACAATACACACTAATTCCTTTGGTAATGAATTTTTCACTACTGCACAGTACTTCAGAATATGAATAGACATTTTTTCATGCTTTACACGAATTTTATTTCAATCAGAAGCACTTTACGAAAAGGTATACGAACGACCAAACTGCACATAGTTTCCGTATTTTAGATAGCATATTTCGTACGAGATCTTTTTGATTCAAAGAATAATAAAATCTTTTCATGATCTACATATTGGCTTGCGTGAACTATTTCCTCATCAGATTTATCTGAAAAAGACTTCGTTTTTGAATCTGATTAAATTTATTTCATAGCATTCTCACTCTCCATATTCATAATATTACTAAATACAAATCATATTCATGTAAATCATATACGGTACCAATTTTGATGCAACAGATGCAGATTTCGACGAATTATGTCTCTTCAGTAATGCTCATTCCTAAATGTTGGAAATCCGAAATATCTAAATTAAAAAACAAATTTAAAAAAATAAATAAAATAAAAAACTTTGAAGAGCTGAAAAAAGGGGTGCCAAAGACTGGAGCCAAATGCGTCGAAGGATCAGAGCATTCCATGAGGGAGATACTAGTAATTTTTAATTTTTAAATAAATTCCTAAATTTTACCACAGCAATTAAATATATATCAGTATTTTCAAGCTAGTACCGAAGTTCTTCGCTACTGGGTTGTAGAGATCCTTGTGGACTAACAGTCTCTCTCTCTCTTCCTCTCTCAAAGAATATACAGTTGTTGGTTGTTGGCATATATCCTGTGCTGATTGAAAATCAGTATAACAGTATGGCACGTAGGTATACCATATGGTAAATTATATCTAAATTGTCCACCCCCTCTTTCTCCAATGAAAGTTTTAATAATTTATACATTTATATATTGTATAAAGAAACAGAGTTTGTTGGATTAAAAAGACCTTGTATACATATTTGCTTACTTTAAAAGATCCACATGTTGATGCTCTGCAATTTGGAAAGAAGAACTCTATTGAGATGAATATTGATTCCTCATTCAATGGCTGTGTCAATGTAATACAAGGAGGGAAAACTAATAAAATTATCATATATGAAATCCATGACAATCGGCGTGGTCAAATACAATACAGATCTACAGGAAGAGGTAAGTATATTTAAAAAAAAAAGTGTAATTCACACTACATGTGTAGCATTGTATTGATCCTCTGCAAAATATTTGAACAAATAGTTCTCATGTTTTATATCATCAAAAATAAATCAAAAATATCAAAAATTGATATGAAATAAATATATTAGTATTTAAATGAAATAATTAAATTTATTATATGATTGGATAATTCCCATCTCTCTGATTGGCTGAAATCCAACAATGTTAGAAAAATACTACGTTATATTGACCTGCACGTGACCTTCCAGGTCAATATAAGGAATTATTTATTCTACATTGGACCAAAAATAGATAGGAAATTCCAAATTGATGCAAATAGTTTTGGAAAGTTATTTCACTTGCACCTGACTTCCACTCATATGAACATAACATTAAGACACATAGATTCTTGGGTGAGGCGTGGGGTTGTAAGAGGCCTGCCCCTCTTCCTACCATTTGAGAATGTAAAGTTTTAATTTGAATTTTAAGGATAAAAAATTTCAATGAAATCCCCCCTTCCCCTCGTTTATGGATCTTCACATCCAACTAAATAAAATTTTGATTTGGGAGAATTCTTTTTTTTTTTTTGGGGGGGGGGGGGGCTAGCCAGAGATTTGTTTTCAGGTAAGTTGTCATTTTTTTCCCTTTTAAAGTCCCCTTTTTCAAAATCATGTGTGTCATTTAATCATTGAATCCTATAATAAAACAATTCTTGCTGTTTTTTCTGTCAATTCAATGATTTAGCCACCTTCTAAGTACAATATTCACAATACAATAGTACAATAGTCTAAATCATCGTATTGACCTCAAAAACCAGCAATAATTGTATAATATTGTTTGCTAAAAGTAGTTTTACTAAAATGAATTATTATTTTGCACCTTTTGTATTTCAGTCCAAGTTTCAGCTGTTCTACACTCAGACGATCCAGATTTCCAAGCTGTGACAGAAAGAGCAAGTCAATTGAATATAGAGGAGACTAATCAGAGGCCTGCTTTAAAAGACAACGACACATCTATTCAAGAAATTCGACAGGGAAGTCTTGTTATAACATTTACGTTTAGAAACGAGCAGTCTTTGGAAGAAAATATTCAAAGGGTGTTTCGATGTGTGTTCGAAGACGAAAAAATAAACAAAATTTTAGAAGATCAGAAAGTCGATACACTGGAAGTTTTTGGATATTTATATGATCCAAAAGAGTACTTTCTTGATTATGGTAAGTAAAATGTAAAGATATTTGAAACATAAAATATTAACCAAATAAATTTAGGTAAGATAAAATAGCAAACTCCTTCTTGTATTTCAAACTGTTGTATGTTTCTTAAAAGGAAATATATAAGAATTATTTTTTCTATTTTTATGGTATCTATTCCAGCTGTTTCTACACTGATGTATTGGAATAAGGAAATTGGCATTTCAAAACTAGAACACTTTACAATAAAAAATAAATCTATGAAGAATATAATATTAATATGTAATAAGATCTAGCATAAATTACACATGTATATAGGTATACATACAGTTTTTAAAAAGTTTGGAAGGTGCATATTCATGCCTTTTCTCTCTTCTTATAGTTTCAAAGGAATCCACTCCAGGATCTGCAGTGGGAAAGTTTCATTTGTGTACACATCTGACATGGACTTTTTCTGAATGCACTTGCGATATCGATATTGTTTTGACAGAATTGTTCCATAATTTGTTGTATTATGACCTCACTACAGAAGGTATCATTACTTTGGTAAAGCTTACAATGCTTAATTTTCCTTTAGGTTTATCTGTGATCATGTTGTGAAAGATTGAAGTATATAAGTTTTCAGAAGATTAAAACAGGTAGTACTCTGTTGTCAGAAAGTCAATGTAATATTGTTTTGTTGCAGTGAATGAAGACATTTGGATCATTATAAAGGGGAGTATAATTCGTCCAACAGTTATGGCCTTTACGCCGTTCGAATCCTTGCTTGCCGAAAACATGTATGGCAAAAAGAGAAAAATAAATTTGGAATTCGAAAAATCAGGACAATGTGAAATTCAATGCATTAAGCAGGAAAAAAGTACAACACATGTTGTTTTGAGGACAAAATCTTGCATAAGTTATTCTGGTTTATTATCAGAAGATGGTATTCTTCTTTCTCTTCTGAGAACTTTCTTGTGGTCGGACGAGACTGAACTCCTAGCATCAAAAGTGCAACTTATGAGAATTGGTCTGATCCTTCATACAAAGCTAGCACAGAATAAAGAAACGCAACAATCAGGTCATAGTAAGTAAAAAAATGTATAATTTTTTAAAATTTAAATGAAGAAATTTTGCAAAATTGGCATTTCATATTGAAGTTGTTTGTCGACAATCAGGACAATGTAGCTAGTAAATATTTTTATCAGTTTTATATATTTTTGACAACGTGAACAAAAATAATTTAATGTTTTCTCATTATTTTGGTAAAAGCCTGTTTTTTTTGTCTCAAGAAAGGATTTTCCCTTTATCAAATCGACTAACCGATCGCAGCAATATTCATAAAATTATATATATATATATATATATATATATATATATATATATATATATATATATATATATATATATATATATATATATATATATATATATATATATATATATATATATATATTCTGTCCTGTTTTGAAAAGAAGGAAATAAATGAAAGTATGAATTAGAACAAATATCTTGCTTCATTCAACAGAAAGCATATTTCACAAATATCAAATTCCCCAAGTACGACGTTTACCCAGATGAAAAAAATTCCACTGATAGGAACGGAAAAAAATTGATTCATTTCAATGTTGTTTTTTTCTTCATTTAAAACATTTTTGATGACACTTTAAGGCACCACTTTCTGTCAACTAAAATCATGAGAAAAAGTCATTAGTCTTTAGTGAAAAACAATAACATTTTTCAAATTAATATGAATACATTTTGATGCATATATCCTGGAAACTATGATGAATTTGTTTTGAATCGTACGGAGCAATGCCTTAAAAATGTCATATGAATAAGAACAAGATGTGTTGCTCGCAAATATTAATTTAGCTTTCTTAAAACAAGGCTCCAAGAACATCTGTGAAGATGGAGAACAAACTTCAGTCAAGATTTCAAACCAATATTACTTTTAAAATACTATGATAGCGAAATAAAATTTTCATCATTTGTTTGAAATTAAATGTTATACGAAATACAAAAGTTTTTAGTAAATACATTAAATAAAACCCAAGATATGAAAAATCAATTTAGTTAGGTCTGTTCTCAGATAATTGTCTTGGGGTCAGACGAAGGAGATACGATTTTAAGGACATACGCAACGTAGTTTGAACTTTATTGTCTTTTTCCCTGGAGTTGAAGAGTTCCAATACTTAAAGGAACTGTGTGCTACATTTTAATTTCTATATATGCTGTTGTACACTTCTTCTGAAACAAGTTTGGATAAACAAAACATCTAGAATATATGTTTAGTAATTTTTGTATATTTTTCTTTGAATTATACAAGAATTTTCATCAATTGATATCTTTTCAAAACCTCTGGTAATGCAGGCTGATTTTTTGTATACGAACATCTGATGACAGTATTACTTTAAATTAGGAATATCTTGAAAAATTATCAGTAGGTAAGGTACGTTGCGTATGTCCTTAAATGATGAATAACGTTTCAAAGATTAAACTATTCTAAACTACCTTTTCTTCTTATTTTGTTAGCCTTGATCATTAAGTTTTGTCCAGAATCGAACATGACGAAGGCAATCAACAATGGTGCTCTTGCAGAAATACTGACAAGTGTATTACAAGACAGTGGAATTGAAATGCCAGAACGAATGAAAATTAAAGTGGATATAAACGATCAAATAAGTAAGATAATTCACACAAATTAGGGCATTTCTAGGGCAGATCATAAGATGAATGATACAAAATCTTTAATCCAATAACGTTGAAAGGAAGTCCTTTTGCATCAATAAAATTTCCCTTTTGTTTCGGGGGTTGTATGTATGTCTATTTACTGATTTGTTTATATTAAATAAAGTATGGTTAATTTATGGAATAAATGGAGATAAAGAGCAGTATTCAAGCTCAAAAGTCCATTTAAACAATACAATTCGGGAGCAGAGCAAACACGGACCTCTAAATCATCAGGGGGTGGGATCAAGTGCCATGGAGGAGTTCGAATCCCCTACCGACTGGTCACTCCTTGTCATGATTGGGAAATACTTAACGGAAAAATCCGTCGACGAAACAGTGTGTAAATAATGGACTAACAATTAGTATGAAAATTGTCATTCAGCATTTGACTTAATGATAGATTGTATTTGTTGACAAGGTCATTGTATCGACCACAGAACTTACGAAATGATCACTTTAAACGGTACTGTTGATATTCTTGTTTCATCAACTTATTTGTCAAAAACTTATCTCGTTTTAGAAATTGTTCATTAGTAGAGGATCTCTTGCGTATCGAATCAACTGAAAGATATAAACCCCATGTGCAGGCGATAAGGGTACATTGCTGCATAACTAAGGGGAGCTAATGATTCAAAAGTAAAAAATTAACCACGTTTATCATGAATTTTTATGCCCTGCCAAGAATGTGTTTGTCATGTCCGTCTTCCGTCCTTCCATCCTTCCATTCTTCCGTCTGTCCTTCTGTCGCGCTTTGCGTTTTCTCAGTTCAAAGCTCAGTTTCAGAGATTTTTATCAAACTTCATATGCTGATAGATATTGATGAGAGCTATGCAACTGCATCAACAAATGATGATTCAAGTTATTTTTATCAAACGTCAGATGCTACATACTGATGAGAGCTATTCAACTGCATCAACATTTTTTTACCATGACCTTTCCTTTGACCTTGACCTCACCTTTTTTCAAATTAGTGTTTAGCTCAGTTTTAAAGAAACCATTCAGGACAGTGTTATCAAACTTCATATGCTGATACATACTGATGAGAGCTATTCAACTGCATCAACATTTTTTGACCTTGACCTTTCCTTTGACATTGACCTCACTTTTTTCAAATTAGTGTTTAGCTCAGTTTTAAAGAAACCATTCAGGACAGTGTTATCAAACTTCATATGCTGATACATACTGATGAGAGCTTTTCAACTGCATCAACAATTTTTGACCTTGACCTATCCTTTGACCTTAACTTCATTTATTTTAAATTGGTTTTTAGCCCTGTTTTAAATAAACCATTTAAAATATCTTTATCAAACTTAATATGCTGATATGTATTTATGAGAACTATTCAAATGCATCAAAAATGTTTGACCTTGAACTTTCCTGTGACCTTGACCTCACTTTTCTTAAATTTGCATTTTGCTTAGTTTTAAAGAAATTATTTAAGATATATTTATGTAAGCTTATGCACTTATACATAATTTGTTGAGAATTTATCAGCTATATCCAACCTTTTAGATTTCAATTTTAAAGAAACTATTCAAGATATTCTCATCAAATTTTATACACTAATACCAATTTTCGTGTTGCATTACTAATATACCCTCGGCGGGGCATTCATATCCTATGAACATATTTCTAGTTGTTAGGTTACAATTTTTGTGCATTACCATTTATGGATTTTATTTTTGGATCGACTTTGTTATTACAGGAACAGATGCATTAATCAAACCTTCTTCAGAGAAACAGGGACAAACATATGATTTGACCAGCGATGCTCTTTCAGAAAAATTAGATCGCGCAGAACTGATGCTGACAGAAAATAAACTTGATGAAGCAAAACAATTAGCACGTGAAGTGTTCGATGGGAGTCAACTTCTAGACAATGAGAGTGTACAACGTCTAATAAGCATATTTAAAATGGTATATCGTGGTCTTTATTTCTATTTCATTTTGATCACTACTAGCATTGTTGTTTTGATTCAGGAAAGAATTGTCTAAAAACTCCGTTTGTCCGTCTGTCCGTCCGTCTGTAAACTTTTCACATTTTCGACTTCTTCTCCAGAACCACTGGGCCAATTTCAACCAAACTTGCCACAAAGCATCCTTGGGTAAAGGGGATTCAAGTTTGTTCAAATGAAGGGTCACACCCTCTTTCAAGGGGAGATAATTAAGAATTAGTGAAAATTTGGTGGTATCTTTTAAAAATCTTCTTCTCAAGAACCACTGGGTTGTAAAAGTTGAAACTTATGTGAGACCTTCATTACATAGTGTAGATTCAAGTTTGTTCAAACCATGACCTCCTGGGGTAGGGTGAGGCCACAATGGGGGATCAAAGTTTTACATAGGAATATATAGGAATAAATCTTTAAAAATCTTCTCCTCAAGAACAACTAAGCCTCGATTAGTCATATTGTTATGGATTCATCCTCAGGTAGTGTAGATTTAAGTTTGTTCAAATCATGACCCCCAGGGGTAGGGTGGGGCCACAATGGGGGATCAAAGTTTTACATAGCAATATATAGAAAAAAATATTTAAAAATATTCTTCTCTAGAACAACAAAGCCACAATTAGTCATATTGATATGGAATCATCCTCAGGTAGTGCAGATTCAAGTTTGTTCAAATCATGACCCCCGGGGGTAGGGTGGGGCCACAATGGGGGATCAAAGTTTTACATAGAAATATATAGGAAAAATCTTGAAATTGTTTTTCTCAAAAACAACAAAGCCACAATTAGTCATATTGATATGGAATCATCTTCAGGTAGTGTAGATTCAAGTTTGTACAAATCATAACCCGGGGGGGGGGTAAGGGGGGAGGCCACAATGGGGGATCAAAATTTTACATAGGAAATTATAGGAAAAAATCTTTAAAAATCTTTTTCTCAAGAACAACAAAGCCACAATTAGTCATATTGATAAGGAATCATCCTCAGGTAGTGTAGATTAAAGTTTGTACAAATTATGACCCCCAGGGATAGGGTGGGGCCACAATGGGGGATCAAAGTTTTAAATAGAAATATATAGAAAATTTTTTTTAAAAAATCTTCTTCTCAAGAACAACGAAGTCACAATTAGTCATATTGATGTGGATTCATCCTCAGGTAGTGCAGATTCAAGTTTGTATCAAGTCATGACCCCTGGGGGGTAGGGTGGGGCCACAATGGGCAATCGAAGTTTTACATATGTAAATATGTATATTCCTATAGGAATATACAGAAAAAAAACTTGAAAAATCTTCTTCTCAAGAACAGCAAAGCCTTGTTAAGTCATATTGATATGGAAGCATTCTCAGATAGTGTAGATTTAACTTTGTTCGAATCATGACCCCCAGGGTTAGGGTGGGGCCACAATGGGGGATAAAAGTTTTACATAGGAATATATAGGAAAAAACTTTAAAAATCTTCTTCTCAAGAACAGCAAAGTCATGTTTTGTCATATTGATATGGAAGCATCCTCAGATAGTGTAGATTCAAGTTTGTTCAAATCATGACCCCTGGAGGTAGGGTGGGGCCACAATGGGTGATCATAGTTTTACATAGGAATATATAGGGAAAAAACTTGAAAAATCTTCTTCTCAGGAACAGCAAAGCCATGTTTTGTCATATCGATATGGAAGCATCCTCAGGTAGTGTAGATTCAAGTTTGTTCAAATCATGACCCCTGGGGGTAGGGTGGGGCCACAATGAGGGATCATAGTTTTACATAGGAATATATAGGGGGAAAAAACTTGAAAAATCTTCTCAAGAACAGCAAAGCCATGTTTTGTCATATTGATATGGAAGTATCTTCAGCTAGTGTAGATTCAAGCTTGTTCAAATCATAACCCCCAGGGGTAGGGTGGGGCCACAATGTGGGAACATAGTTTTACATAGGAATATATAGGGGAAAAATTTTTTTCGACAACAGAAAAGCCATGTTTAGTCATATTGATATGGAAGCATCCTCAGGTAGTGTAGATTCAAGTTTGTTCAAATGGGGGGGGGGGGGGGGTAGGGAGGGAGGGTCCACAATGGGGGATCAAATTTTTAACAAGGGAATATACAGGAAAAAAATCTTTAAAAATCTTCTGCTCAAGAACAGCAAAGCCATTTGTTATATTGATATGGAAGCATCCTCAGGTAGTTCAAAATCCAAGCCCCCCCCCCTTTTTAAACTTTTCAATACTGAAGTGATTTGTGCTTTTTCCTAGCCAGTGTGATCAGGTGAGCGATGTGGCCCATGGGCCTCTTGTTTTAAATGTTTGCTATGTTGATTGTATGCTTGTTTTACTTCTCTGGAATTAATTTTTGTTTTATGGTTAGAATTAAGACATTTCTGTAAATCAGCATTCGTTTAGGTATTTTTTTTTAATGGAAAGGGGGTTGTGTATCAAATGTATATTAGTGATCAAAACTAAATCTCTATGATGACATAAAATGTAAGAATGGTAGTTATGCTTGATGACAGTGCTGATTGGTTGCTTATGCTACTGATTTTAAATAAGGATTTATATTAATCAGATGCTGATTTTATGTTAAAGAAAATGATTCTTTGCTGTGTTAAAGGTGATTTTGTTATATATGCCAAATTTTTAAATTCATACAGTCATATACGTATTCAGAGTTAAATACAGAGTCCTGTTCAGGTTATTGTTTGTTGCAGTGTGTGGACGACTTCTACTCTCTGAAATGCTTTTGCAAAGGTAAGAAATGTTTTTTGGATTGCTTTAAAAATAGTTAGTATTACTTCTATACAACTTATTCAATGAATTTTAAAAATAAATTTAATCAATTAAAATTATGATATTGTCAAGGAAGTTTTCTTTAACTCCCTTTGTCAACCCAGTATTTTTCTCTTTTATTCTTCTCTTCCAGTATCTTTCTCTTCAAATATAAATGAAGTCATTCGAAATATGCTGCATTTTCCGAAAAATTATTTTAAAAAGGAAATAAGATTTGATACAAAGGATTTAGGAAAGATGTTATACACCCCCCCCCCCCAACCCCAAATTATGTTGTTTACGAATTATAAAATATATTATGTGTCTTCATGTATTGAATATATTTCTATCAAGTGGTTTGCAAATTCGTATATGTAAACACACAGTCTTTTATTTTGGTGATTATTTTTAAATTAAATATTGCATATGCTTTTAAGAAATTCTAATGGTTATGAATCGAGCAAATTTTAATTTACTTTAGATTAGGATGCTTAAATTTAAAATGTAAATACATGTATCTATCTGCATGGCTTTTATTCTTTTAAAGATAAATCGCTTAGATTTTTCCATCCCACCATTTAGAAGTTTAAAGAATCGAAGATTCGGGGGCATATAGTTTTTGCCCTGTCCGTCTGTCTATCTGTGTGTCTGTTTCTTTGTCTCTTTTTTATCTGTTTGTCCGCAAAAACTTTAACATTTCCCATAACTTTTGATTGGTTGGAGCTATGGCTCTCATATTTCACATGTGTATTCCTTGTGACAAGGCCCTTCTTTGGGTATCAACAAATTTGACCTCTTGACCCTGGAGTTTGACCCAATTTTGCAAGAATTTACCCAACTTTATCCTTGACCTAAACTTTTGAACAGTTGGTGCTAGGGCTTTCATACTTCACATGTGTGTTTATTGTGATAAGACCTTTCCATTGATATTAATATTTTTGACCTTTTGACCTTGACCTTTGAGTTTGATCCACTTTTAAAAAACCTCATCCTTAAACATAACTTTTGAACAATAAATACTGGTGCCTTCATATTTCAGGTGTATTTCATGTGACAAGGCCTTCCTTTCGATACCAACCATTTTGACCGTTTGACCCTGACCTTGGAGTTTGACCTACTTTTGAAAAAAAAATAATCTCAGCCATAACTTTTGAACAGTTGGAGCCAGGGCTTTAATATTTCCCATGTGTATTTCTTATGACAAGGCCTCCCCTAGGGTACCTTTAATTTGGACCTTTGACCTTGACCTTGGAGTTTGACCCACATTTAAAAAACTTTAACCATGGACATAACTTTTTAATGGTTAGTGCTTGGGCTTTCATATTTCACGTATATATTCATTGAGAATATGTCCTTTCTTTGGGTAACAAGGTTTTTCATCCCTTGACCTTAGAGTCTGATTGCATTTGAGAGACTTCAACCTTCGCCAAAAGCTGTCATACGGGAGCATCAGTGTTTCACAAACACACCTTGTTTTTAGTGAAAACGCCCTTTCCCTATGTATAAACTATTCCTCTAGAGAAAATATATTTTATTGAAACACGGGATATGGAGGTCAAATAGATCAATAGAGCTCAAACAATACCGTCTCTAAATAATTTCAGATCGAGTGCTACGGAAAGTTGAATGGACTACGAGTAATCTAGCAACTGCCATGGAATATTGGATGAGAGTAATAAGAGGCCCATATACATTCAAGGTATATATGTGTAGTTATGGTATTATGTAAAAGTAGGTGTATTTAATGAACAAAGAAGTAAACAAGTATTCCTTTTTAAGGAAAAATCGGCATAGAATCATAAAATCAGCATTATGAAATGTCTTGAAATGAGTTTTTAGACCTTTCCTTTTGCTTTAGTTAACTTAAATTAATATTTTTATGAGTATGTATGTACAATTATTTATAATTTCACATTTCTCAACTGAGTATGAATAGCCTTATTAACATGCTTTTCTGTACATATCAAAGAACTGTGAATGAAAGTATTGTTCTGCCGCCTACTTTCAAGTCAATTTTCAAAAGTTAACATATTTGAATAATTTTTCAAATCGATAGAGAGATTTACATGGATTTTCACAAAACATAACTAATATTTTGGAAAACAAAGTGAGCTAACTCTATAATTTTGGTAAACTTGTGTTTTTCACTATTAATAGAGAGGTTGAGATTTCATACGTGTACGTGTACGGGTACGTCTAGTAGGGGAATTCCCTAAATTCCTCGTGTATTACGTCATCAGTTTTAGCGTTGACAAGTTTTCTACACGTTCCTACAACTTGTAGAATGACGTCTATACGTAAGTGTAAAATTGTAGCTTTTATAATAAAAATTAGTCAATCTATGTGTGAAAAAAATATTGTTGTTCATTATTTAGAATGTAAGTTTTCAGGAACACTTATTTTAACCATGTTTTGTTCACTAACTTAAGTCAAACTAATGTCACAAAACTACTAAATAGTTGAAACAGAGACGTCGACTGCAGTCTACACGTTCATATTGCACGTCATTAAAATCTCAACAGACAAATTACAAAAAACGTGTACGTGTACGTCAAAGTTTGTGCAAACGTACACGTACGCGTACAAGTTTAAAATCTCAACCTCTCTAATAGAGATCAATAGAAAACGAAAATATTTTTGAAACATCCCCCATTAGGAAAGCCTAATTTCAATGGAAAACATCGTCTACTTACTTATAAAATGAGTTTAAATTAAGAGTAATTAACTATTCGACACTGGTATTAAAATTATTAATCAAATACCATTGAACTCATTAGTATTGAATTAAATGAGTGTAAAACGGCGGCGGAAATCGAGAGTAATTCTTTATTTTTTTCGCGTTGTTCTTTAAATGGTTGTTATATTTATGTTACGGTAAATATGTGAAATCAGGAATTTCATGTTTTTCCTGAACCATTAAGTAAATACATGTATTTACTGGCTGTCTTAGGAAATACATGTAATTACTGAATATATAGATTGGGAAATTTATGTATTTACTGTAATTTTTAGCCAATTTTACATGTTTTTACTGAACTAAGCAGGATGACTATACATAAGGGTTAAAACATTCATGCTTTTAAAATAGCACTTAATGTGATTTTTTTTCTACTAAGCTACTACTCCTGAAATTCAGGAGATACATGAAATTTCTGATTACACATAATTACTGTAACACACCCACACACACACCCTCACCCACACACATACACCCTCACACCCCCCCCCCCCCCCACACACACATCCTCACCCTCACACACACGCACACACACCCTCACACACACACACACACCCTCTCACACACACACACACACACACCCTTGTTTGTAAATCCAGCCAACTGACTACATTTGAAATTTTACCTTCATCTCGCTTCACCGATTTAGAGGCTTGAAAAAGAGAAAGTAAGACCAGAATATACCGAGGTTAACCTTAGGATTTCTCTGTATCTATAGGAATTTTTGATATCTTTTACTTTAAGTATATTGAAATTCGACATGAATCTCACTACATTTTTACACTTGTTGAACACACACGTGCAAATCGGTACAGCTAATTCAACCGTCAATTCACTACAAAGTTATAAACACACAGGAAAATCGCTACAGCTAGTGATCATGTTTAATTTTTTAATTGCACCGTTTATTTTATTTTATTTACTGGTATAAATGGTGTATGTATGTACAAGACAGTACACAAGATCAAAGGAAAAGATTGGATATGCGGCAAAAATGTATGTTATCAGAGCTGTTCCCATGTTGACATATACATGTATACAGCATGTACAGCGCCGGTCTAACATAAACTCTAATTAACATTAATCTCAGAGTCGATAATTGAAGATATCTTTTAATAATCAAGGACATCATCAATTCATTTTTTATTATTAATAATGGAATGAACGATACTTTCTTTTAATGAAAGAACGGAAAAAATCTTTTTTAAGACAATCTCTAAATTGATTCTTTGCGAGTAAATTTTCCGCCACTGTATTGATAGGCCTATCTTCGATTCAATTGATAAGCGCATCAAATCAATTATTGCTCTCCTTTATTGAATAGTTGCGCGTATAAATCCAGCTGATGAGAGGAATAACTGATCTGATGCTCTCACTCATTCAGAAAATGTATTTCAAGCCGTATCCTAAGCATATCTTGTATCTTTTCTTTCCATGTAACATCTGTGCAAGATTCCGTTAAGCTAAAAACTAGTCCCCTACTGGTAAAAACGGTTCTTTCCTCAACTGTCTGCCTGTCTGTCCCTCTGTAAGTCCTTCCCATGGCACTTGAATTTTCCGCCCTTTTTCTACAGCTTGCAAATATTGAACTGATGTTTGGTATGTGAGTCTACCTTTACTAAGTTACAGATCAAGTTTGAATTTCCGCTTTCAAGAGTTTTGACGGAATTACGGGCATTTCAATTTTTTAGGAGAACCAGATAACATTTGCAGGTAGGGTGCTAGCATTGCATATGCAATACTCTCAAAATGCTTGTTAAAGTTACGAAAAAAGCTACTCCCTAAGCACCTAAATGGTCACTTTTGCTGATAATGAAGGAAAAAGCAGCATCCGAAGCAATACTGCTATTATCAGCAGTCAATATTAGCTGCTCGGCATTAAGCTAGATAACTTGCGATTTATAAGTTCTTTCAAAATTTAGAGTAGTGGCATGTTTGAAATATATATCCTTTCAGCATCAAATTTTCTTTAAATTTTTCCCAAAAAATCCCTGTGTGAAGAATCGTGTGGTCAGTTAGTAAAAAAAACAAACTCGAACGTCAATTCATCATAGTTTCAAAACAGTAAATATTCCGTGATCTGGGTAACCAAAAAGTTAGTGGAATTAATTGTATTAATGATTATTCATTCTCATTAATACCCAATGATAATCGCCCAAGTTCAAGTGCAAGTTCAGTTTATTCACCCAACCCAAAATAATAGTACATGGGATACATTTATAACATATATATATATATATATATATATATATATATATATATATATATATATATATATATATATATATATATATATATATATATATATATATATATATATATATATATTTCATATAAACTGTTCAGAGGTACAATATCTATATATACAATGCAAAAACATGATAAAAAATGAATAATGATAATGATAAAAATACTTCGCCGTTCCATTTTTAACCATTTTCAAGAGAAAATTCTTAAAAGATTACATATAGTCATATACCCTAATGTATAGTTAAGAAGATGCGAAGACTCCCTGACCGCTTGGGAAAGTGTGTTTTAACACCCTACTGCTCAGATTGACCGGTGGGGGAGACTTTCAATGATTTGAAAATACGCTATCTAACAAGAAACATGTGGTTTAGCTAGAAAATGCTAAAATGCATTCTCTAAACGGACAGGGTGTCTCAAGCCGCCTCAATACCCTTGATAGATTCAGGGCAAAGCCCAGATGATGGCGCAGAGGACTAAAGTCCCTGAAAGCTCCGGAATTTTGACGATGCAAAGCCATTTTATTCACAGAAGAAGTTGGAGAATAGATATATTTTTGTTCTTATTCTAGTGAGGCATACTGGGCGACTGAAATTTCTCGGTACTACATTAATAGAGTATTTGAAAATTTTTTAAGGAAGATAAATCAATCATAAGTTAATGAAATACATTATAACGTGTACATAAACAGAAAATTTAAAAGGGTGTTTTAGTGATAATATTTTTGTATCGTGTTCCTACAATGAATTTCAGTATAAATATGAAAGTAAAAATTAAGAGAAAATTCATATACGAAGATTGCTTTCTATGCAAACTTCGTGATAATTATAGTTTTGTCAATGATAAAATATGTACAACCTTTGATTTTGAGTATCCTATGCCCTGAAGGAGTATTAATTTTTTCTTAATCAATTTACTTTGGGGGAGACTAAACGATGTGCATGCTTGAGCATATAAGGAAATATGGAAGCTCTGCCATACCAGCCAAATTAACATACTTTTTATGTTACTTGTGTTAAAGATATATTCAAATAAAGCATGTAAATTGAAATGATAAAAAAAACATGTGATAATTGGTTAGAAATTTTAAATATTTCAGCAATATTAATAATGCCATCACATTGTTGGGGCTCGAGTTAAATTCCACTGATGAGAAGAATGACTGAATTTAATTGCTGCTAGCATCAAATCAATTACTGATCTCATCAATTCAAATGATGCGCGCCTTAATTTTTCTAATGTTTGCCAGCATCAATAATTCGCATTAATTCAATTGATGAGAGCAATAATTGATTGGCACTTCAGTTCATATGAGAGCAATGATTGATTTAATGATATATTTCAAGTAATTTAAGATGACTTCATGGATAAATGTATTAAAGAATATATTCTTTATCTATAACGTCAAAATTAGAAAATTTACAGAAAAGTGATATTAAGGAATATTGGAGAATTTTAAATAGTTCGAAGGCTAGATGTAAAACTGAAGTTAATATCAAAGCAATGTACGATTTTTTGAAGAAAAAAAAATAATGAATCTAAAGATGATGAAGGTGATGTAGATGATAATGATGTCAATTTCGATAATAACTCCCCTTTAAATTGTCAAATCTCTGCAGAAGAAATCTTGCAAGCAGTTAACAAACTGAAAAATAATAAAGCTCCAGGGTATGATCAATTCTGTAACGAATATATTAGTACAACAATATCATGTT